TATGATTACAATGGATATGAGCATGAATACCCTACTGAACACTTTGTGTAATCACTTTGTTGTGTTTCTGATTTGGCGATCCCTATACTTAGGTTAGAATTAACAACATACCTAGTTTAGATTTAACATATCCTTGCTCCCTATTTTTTGAGAAAAGGTGCAAATAAGGATGCCAACTTTTGATTTTTTTTATTTAAGGATGCCAACTTTCAACTTTTTCTATGGTTGAAAAAGTTGACATTTTTATTTAGAAACTAGCAAAGTTAACAGCCTCAAATAGAAAAAATATAAAGTTAACATCCTTATTTGCACTTTTTTTCAAAATGTTGAAAGTTGGGTTACACAATGGGAGGCATCCCTCCCCATCCCTTGACCCACCCTGTGTATACACGTACAACTCACATCCATAACCTCTTCCATGGGAAGGAAATTATCACTAGGTCCTTTAGGTTGTTGGCTACACAAGTCCTTGCTTATCTATAGTTCACTAGTGTTGTAACCCATTTTGAATGGTTTTTTGAGTGAATCCAAAAGGGGTTCTTCTCATTTGAATATCATCAACTACTACTTCAATCTGGTGAAAAGAGAAATTATATTGAATTCAAATGGCTTGTTTTGTGGGGATTTTGTGGGAGGCAGCTCATCTATTTGTCAAGTGTAAATGTTCCTACAATTTTTGGAGAAAATGTAGTGCTTGGTGAGGTTTTCAGTCTGCATTACGAGGTGATGTTGCTACTTTTTGGGAGAGTTTTGTGTTTGGACCATAAGGATTTAGAGTCTGGATAGTCAAAGCAGTGGTGATGCTAGCAGCCTTGTGGTCTTTTGTGGATTCATCGAAATGAAGTAATTTTTAGAAATGGGAATTGGGATGCAAATAGAGTGTTTGAGCTGGTTCAAATAAGGTAGATGACCAAAAAAAAAAAAAAAACAAACAAAAGCTGGTTCAAATAAGGTCATTTGCATGGATCAAAGGGAGACTACCTTAGGCGCCAATGGATTTTAGTGGATGGTGTCAGCTTCCACACTTGTGTGCAAAAGAGATAATGAAACTATGCCAATTGTAATTTTGAGTCCGATTTTGACCAAAATTTTTTCGATGCATCTATTCTTTGTGACAAGACATTGTATACGCATTGCAGTAAAGCAACGCTTGTATTCCGGTTAATAAAATTTTTTGTTGATAAATGGTTAAATTTAACAAATAGTCTATTAATCATGTGGTTTAATTTAGTTTAGTTTAGAAATAATTTTTTCTTTCAAAATAATTTATAAATTATCAATTTGGTTTCAAAATTAACTAAATTAACGGAATGTTTGTCTAGATAAGTTGGTGTAGATAAGTTATCTTTTAAAGTTTTGAAAAATGTTAAATATAGTACATATATTTTTTTTTGTAATATTTTGTTTCTGAAATTTAAATTTTATGTCAAATGTAATAATTAATTAAGATAATAATTTTAATTTATATTAATCAAGATTTTAATTTTAATTTACAACAATCAATATTATAATTTAAATTTTATTATTTCTTAAAAACTTAATACCATTATTGAATCACATATTTTTTCACTAATTTGTATAAAAAAATAAAAAATTTTGTTTTTATTTTTAACACTAATAATACAAGCATGATTTTAATTTGAGAATTTATAAAATTGAAATGAATTTTTATTTTTTTTAGATAATTTTAATTATGTGCACGTGCTCATTTAATTAAATTAAAATTTGAAAGTGTTTATTGATTAAAAATATTAATATTTAATAATAAATTAAATTTTTTAGAAATAATAAAATTTAAATGATAATATTGATTATTGTAAATTAAAATTAAAATTTTAATTAATGTAAATTGAAATTTCATTTTAGTTAATTATTATTACATTTGACAAAAAATTTGAATTTCAAAAACAAAATATTGTAAAAAATAAAAATATATGTATTATATTTAACATTTTTCAAAAATTTAAGGGATAACTTGTTTACACCAACTTATCTAGAGAAACATTCCATTAGTCTCATTAACAAAATGTTTGTCAAATATACCATTTTAAAACAAAATTGATTGTTTATAAATTATTTTGAAAGAAAAAATTATTTTTAAACTAAATTAAAATAAATCATATAGTTAATAAATTATTTATTGAATTTATCTGTTGATAAATAGGCAAAAAATACTAGAGCTATCACATTTTGTAAGAATCTGAACGGGCCCTGAGCTTTCTTTAGGCTGTTTTTGGTTAAAAAAGGAAACTTTCTCACTTATTTTTTCAGTACTTAGATTTTTAGGGTTAGTTTGGTATTTTTATAAATTAATATTACAACAAAATAAGCATAAAGTTACAATTTTAGTAAATATTTTTTTTCTGACACAATTCTTAAATAAATAAACTTTCTTCTCACATATTTTTAAAAAGAAATCGTTTCTCCCTACATTTTTTATTGTGGGGGCTTTTTAATTATTTTCACTCAACTTTCTCAATATCAATTTCTCACCGAATGCAAAAAAAAACTGATAACACTAAGAAATCTTTAACAAAATTTTATTACAAAACTTCTAAACATTTTTATAATACTTTACTTACAACTTTTCTATAAAAAAAATTTTGTAGTAAAATTGGGCTCATACCTGCAAAATTTTTCGCAATAAAATTGTGCTTATATCAAACAGGCCCTTAAGCTGGTGAATGCCTGGTAATTTTAACATGCCTTGCTCTGAAAAGCCCATTTTATTGGATTTGGATTCACGGAAGTGGGCTTTCTTCTCTTTTCAAACTGAATGCACAACCCAAATGAACAGGCTCTGAGTGACAGAACCCATCAGCCATCCTATCTGCCCTTGCTTTGTGGTATCTGCAAAGGCCTCCCTCTTTAGCAAGACCTCAAGGGATCAACGCATCACACATCTCAATATAGAAAAACCACAAATACAACAATTATTATTTTTTCCTTAAACCATATTTTGGTTCAAATTCAGCTTATTTCATTATTGCTTATTTTCTTGAAATAAAAAAGAAAAAAGAAAAAAAAAAAAGACAAATCTTATTAATGAACACAATGAAGAACAGTAAAGAAGGGAGTTGATGACTTGTTGATGTCTTTAGTTGTACAGCAACAGGCGGAGGGACAGTCAGCACAGGACCACCCTAAGACCCTTCCCCTATTAGGGTGGTCCTAAACCAAATGGGGTTTCTCTGTCGTCCGTCTGATCATTACCGTAAGCAATTCTCAATCACAGGCAGAGAGGCACGGAACTGATTGCCGTACCGTCAGATTTAGATCAAGCGATAACCATAACAGAGATGGTCCCACTCACCGCAACCTGTCAGTAACTTTATGGTTAGCTATCCCAGCAGATTTTTTTAGTCGGAATCAGGTGCACCCAATCACAGTCAAAATGCATGGTTTCTTTCCTTTTTATTTTATTTTATTTTATTTTACTTTTATTTAAATATTTGAATGAGATTCAAATCTTAACCCTTTAAATTTTGCATAAAAAGTTTGTTATAAGGTAAATGTGACTGACAAGGACATTCTCAACATACATGGTTTAATTAATTATTTGGGTTGTGAAACCCTTAATTTGGTGCATATGAAGTTTTTTGTTTTTGGTTTATTTTTAATGAAGTTAATATTCAGAGCAATGTTTTTGAACCCGGCCCGGTGGCTGGCCCGTTTTGACCACCGGATCCGAGTCAACAGGTTGAACCGGTTCACTCGACCGGTTCAACCGGTCAACTAAAGTCAACTAAAAAACTCTTTTTTTGGGCATTTTTAATTTTTTATTGAATTTTACTTTTATACCTTACCTTCTCGGTTTCACCCGAAAACGATACAGATCGTTTTGAGCAGAACAGACGAGGGAGATGAAGATGATCAGCGAAAGAGAAGAAGTGCAGCGACGGAGGAGAGGATCGGCAGAAAAGATGATCGGCGGACGATTGGCGGTAGAGAAGATCGGCGAACGATCGCGGAAGAGAGGATCGGTGGACCATCGGCGGACAAGAAGATCGGCGGACAAGAAGATCGACGGACGAGAAGATCGGTGGAAGAGACGATCGGCGGACGGTCGGCGGATGATCAGCGGACGATTGGCGGACAATCGATGAACGAGAAGATGATGAAAATTTCAGCCCGACCGGTTGCAACGGGTCGCACGAGTTTAACGGGCGGGACGGGTCTGACGGGTTTCAACGGGTTTCAACGGGGCATTTGCTTAAACGGGTTGAAGTATTCAACCGACCCGTTTTCAGGTTCGGGTCTGGTTCAACCGATTCAACCGACCGGACCAGGCCGAGTCCAAAAACATTGATTCAGAGAGAGGGTGGATGTCCACTACTCTTGTTTGACAATACTCTTCTCTGTTTGTAACAATTATTAATACTTCCTATATTCTCAATATATATATAATTTTTTTTTGCTGTTTAAAAAAATTATACACTACTTTTTCAAACCCCTCTCTACTTATTTCATTATTTAAATTTGAGACTATATTAATAGAAGCTTAAGCTCTAGCCGTTGGACATTCTCCCATGAGACATATTTTGTTAATCTACCTGTCGAGTCTCCTTGCTCCCTGAACTCGTTGAATTTCAGTGAATTTAAGATAAAAATTTAGTGTTAATTTTTTTTTGTACAGTATTAATTAAAAAAATTTTAAATAAAATTAAATTGTAGTGATGATTTTTATCAAAAATTTTTAGTGTTAATTAACACCAAATGCACAGAAATGCAGCCATTAAAGAACCACCTGCTTGTGGGCCAATAAAATAAAATAAAATAAAATAAATAAAAACCCACCGGCTTGTATTTTAGTTAAGGGTTTGTTTAATTACCTTGTCTTTTAAGGATATATTAATTATATAATTTTTTATTTATTTATATAAGAAAATATAAAAATTAATTTTATTTTAAATATTAATAATACATGTATATTTTTAATTAAATAATTAATAAAATTAAGATTTATTTTTATTTTTTTAATAATAATTAATAAAAAAATTATAATTAATACACTCTTAATCGTATATGTCTAAAAAAAAAAAACACCTCGGGAAATTGCAGATTTATTGTACTTTATCAATTACTGAGCTGGATCTGGTAATACCATAAGGGATTTGAGTTGGAAAACTGGACAGTGTTTCCACCCACCGCTTACAAGTGAAACTTCCTTTTGTTTTTCCACAAAACCGGCATCCAAAATGTACATTCAGCCATTAATTTAGGATGAACTTTTGTAGTGATTTGGAGTAACCGAATTGTTTTACTCCCATTAAACATAAATTTCTTTTGATTTGATAAAGAAAAGGACCATTGGAACAAATACCCATGTAATGTGTTATTTCATTTTCTTGAAAGCTTTGAAAGCTATGGCCATCATAGGTCTGGGTTAGTTGCACTGCTTTTGCTCTCCTCTTGATAAATGATATTTTTCTGCAACTGGAAGTCTGGAACACTTCTCTCAATATAGTTTCTTTTTTTGAACTGCACACTTCTCTCAATATTGATTCTGATGGATCTTCTCCTCTTTCCTTATCCTTTATCAAAAGTCAACCCTATAATAAAAGATTGCCCTATAAACAAATTACTTTCTGTGAAAAAGAGAAAACATAAATTCATTGAATGTCATGCCAAAACCATATATAGTACTTGTTCGGTTAGTTCTTGAAATAGTTTTTCTATTAATATAGAAAACTTTATTGGTTCAGCTGCTGGCTTAAAGTAGCAATGCTCAAGCCCAAAAATAACATTATGAGAATTCAATATTGAAGTAAAATAAAAGTGCAGTCTAAATAATAAAATTAGTAAGATATTCTTAGTAACTTAACTTTGAGAAGAAGATTCATTAAAAATAATTGGTCAATAATATTTTACAGTTCAATCTTCACTTTTTATATACACTTCATACTAAAAAACATATTTTTTGTAAAGCATAGAAATTGAGTCTGAAACCAATTATTCTGTGCATGGTGCAAATTAGATATGTAATTTATTGTTGCAATTTACATACGTTGGACATAGACTCAAAAAAGGAAGGGAAAAAAAGGTTGAAACGAAAGCATTTGGACTTGGACGTCCAGGCAGAGGTTATCACTACCATTTAATTTGTTAAAATTATCAATTTAATTGTAATTTTATCAATTTATATTTTTTTAAATAATTAATTATGATATTTAAAAATATTTACTTATTAATTAATTTTAATCTGTTAAATAATAAATATTAATTCTTTTATCAGTTATCAACTGTTTTTAATAATTAAATTGAGATAAAAATTTGCATCGAACCCTTCAGATCAAGTGACAATAGTCACCTCACGGTGTACTCTCCCCTTTTCCTGGGCTGGGGTTCGACCCAGCCCCTTGTCAACCTATTCAAAAAAAAATTTTGAGATATAAATTTAACTCTATGAAGGGCTTATTTTAAAGAAGGACATCAACCATAAGTGGATGGTAACGTGGCATGCTACGGTGTGCACCTTGTCGATGCGGAGATATCAAAGAATATTTGGAACGCAGCAAGATAAGGAAGAAGAAATCATAGAGCTTGTCAAATACAGACCCTTTTCTTGGTTGAAATCTAAAAACAGGCCAAAACTGTCGCTGGAAGTGTGGAGATCTGACCCAAGGAAAGCATTAACATTATAGATGGTCTTAGTGCGCAATGCTATGTATGTTGTGTATCAGGATATGATGAAGTGAACTGGAAAGGTAAGGCAAGATTAGGAATATTTATGAGTTTTTCTTGTACCTATAATAAAAAATTATTTTTATTTTATTAATAAAAATAAAAATAAAAATTTAATAATTATTGATATTCATAACAAATTAAATGATAATTATAACTATAAAATTTTATTTTGCTGATAAAAAAAAATAATAGTTATAATTATAGCCGAACCTCGAGAACTATTTATGCCAGCAGCGGGCAAAGTGAACTAAACAAAGATGAGGCCCCACCCCTACATAGAAGGAAAAAGAAAAAAGACTTGAGTCCCCATCATACTCCACGACAATATCACGGTACGTACGTACCCACATAATCATGCATTATCATGGAAGGACCACGGACCATGATGTTGGTGTGCACGATAAATAGAAACAAGAGTATACCATAGCTTTTTGCAAATAATTATCGATGATCAATCGTTCTTTCAATTGAAGTAAGCAAGTAGAGTACTTTTTTGAAAAATTTAATTTTCATCATCTTTTCATGCATGCCATTATTATGTGTCTAGGTTATTGTGGTTCATGTATTAAGAGATTTAATTAATTAGGAGAATGAATATTTTTTTTATTGGGATGCTACATATACCTGTGTTTCGATCTTTCATTTTAAGTAAGCAAGTAACACAAGTAATTAATTAAGATATTTTAGAGATATCACACCAGTCTTGTATTTCACTTATTCATATTGGAGTTTAAGTTTTTTTTTTTTTTTTTTTTATCTGTATTTTTCATCACCAAGGATATTGATCTTGGTCTATTGTGACTTTGGTTGCACTAGTTTTTAATAACAATTGGAAAAGCGGGCTGTGTTATATTGTTGGTCATGTGGTTTGATCATAATTTTGTAATTTATTAGTGTGATGTACATAAATAGGAGTACCACTTATATTTTAAAATAATATAATTTTTGATTCATCTAAAAGAAAGGGTAAGATATCAACAATATTTATTTAGAACCAAGAAATTGATTTGAGCCTAAAAGACCAAAATTTTCTCTCTTTTTTTTTTGGATAAAATATACTATTGTTGCTCGAAGAATGATATTAGTACATATGTTATTGAGTAATGCGCCAAACCAGATCCCTTCCCATGGAGGAGACGGTGAAGGCATTTGTACTAGTCTGTGGGCTAAAGTATTGATATCCCTTCTAACACGAGTATTGAATGAATTTTGACCCCTTAGTCAAATTTTCATTTTAGTTCAGAGTGATTGATCAATTCTTCCATGTTTGCATCTAATGCAAAGGCTACCGGAAAGATGTTCTCATTTGGTGGTTGCTTTTGCATCAATGGCTCTTTGAATGAGCAATAATTGGTAGCTGAAGACATTCTACCTGGTATGCATTTTATACCAGATTGGGAACCATTTTCAATTAGCAAAGACAATATGGGTTTTGCAAGAGAGGTTGATATTCTTTCTCATGATTAAAATTCTATTTATTATTGTTTAAAGAGAAATGACTTTGAAATGCTTTCACTACATATACTTCATGCCTATATCATTTTGAAGCAATAAACTTAGTGGAAGTACCCAAAAATTGAAAGAAAAGATGTTGAATAGTTTGTAAATATTTGAAATCTCACATCAAGAAAGTATGGGAACTTAAAGGAGTTTATAAATACTTATTCTTTATCAACAAACACTACTAGAAAACATAAAATCACCGAGCAAAAATCACCGATGTAAGATGATTTGTCGATGAATTAATAATTTACCGACAAAAAGAAAGTCTGTAAAGTGATAAATAGTAGAATTAAAATTAATTTATGTTATTTTATTTTCAGAGGGGGACTTTGTTGGTAAATTTAAACAATACACACGCATTTTTTGTCAGTAAGACATATAAATATTCTCTCCCCCAGTTCCGGTAGCTTTTCCGATGTAGTGGACAAAGAGTTTAGACACCTACGATGGTTTCATCGGTAACTTCAAGATCATGCAACAACAACCTTGTCGATAAGTTGCAAAGATCTTGAAAATATCTACTTAGGCAGCTTTTTAGGTGAGTGAGCAGAAAATCCTATGGCCTACGTCGGTGAAGTTGCTGGTGCAATCACTCTGCAGAAGGTGGTGCAGAGCAATGATAAGTGCAATTTGTTTAATATTATTGTTTTTTATATGTTTTTACATTGAATTTAATTATTTTATGTATATATTACTTTTTTTTAGAATTTAAACTATAAAATATTGTGATTTGTTCATTTGATATTAACATTATCAAATTTATTGTTTTAGATAAATTATATATATAGATGTTTGTTAATAATTTTTTAGTAATTTTTTTGTTAAAATTCTGATGTGAAATTTTAATATTATAATAATTATTTGATGGCAATTAAAAATTCATCTTTCAACTTCCCACCATGCATTTGTCGGTAAATGATGGCGGGACTCTCAAAATTTTTGATTCTTAGCTTCCAACAATCACCTTGTCAGTGAAAAATAAAGCGGCAACACAAAATTTTCAGATATTTTTGCTCCCGCGTCAAATTTTATAGAACCTATGTGTCTTACGTCGGTAAAATGAATACCGACAAAGTACACATAGATAAGAGGCTGTATATATTCCCAGAACTGCCCAACCCTCTCATTTTGTTTTCATCTTCCTCTTCTTCTTTCTTCTGCTCCCATATATGTCTCTCTTTCTTTCCATTAAAATGTTGCTCACTTAAAGGGTCACCAACGCAC